CAGGTACTATACTTGTCTTTTTTACTATCTAGTGCAGAACTCCTTCAATGGGCAACTTTGCCTTGGGGAACTTCTTAGCAGTTTGGATGAGACTTTCTCGGAAATACACTGTAGTGAGAAGCTCTTTCCACCCAGTATTTCCTTACCTTCCCTCTTTTACAGAGTTCAAACTTGTACTATAGTCTACAGGCTGTCCCTTTGAATTCCTTAGCCTATTTTATCATTCACAGACATTTTCTCTAGTCAGCATCTTACATGTGTAATCCCTTCTTAGCATCTGTATTTTTGAGAGCCAGAACTGACATAGGTGGTACAGGGAGTAGTGTAAGAAATCAGGCAGTAAGATGGGGTTTGTGGAATGGTGTACTCAGTCCTTGGCATGAGGTGGTCATTTGACTACTGATTGACCAATAGTGACCTAGGAAAACATCCCATAAGAGGGGAATGTTGTGGTCTATACAATGATTCAAGCATTTAAAAAATATGGGGAAAACAATGCCTACAAGGATAGCAGAACTGGCCAATTAAGTTGTACTACTGCCTTGCAGAGGGATAGTGGGCTTCAAAAAAAAGGCCTTTATTTCCTGCAATGAAAGAACAGACATAGGATTTGACAGTTACAGAGCTCTAAAGATATCTGAATGTTGAGCTATGCAGTTAGGGTCCTGGTTGGGTAATCCTAAAGCTTGAAATATGGTAAGGGGGTACCTGTGAAGATGCTGGTTGTGCAGATACCCCTAAACCCTCAGGGATTGCAGAAGTGGCTTATACTTCCTATAAGAGGTAACAATTCCCTCCCCTTGCAAAAAGACCTATTGAGTAGTTGCTCTCATTTCTTATCCTAGCTGAGAGGTTGTGGTAGCTGGGTTAAATCTCAGCATAATCTGCCTAGGGATTGCTGGGCCTAGGGAAGAAAGAGATTACACACTGAAGGAATTGAAAAAATAATCTGGCATTGTATTACTAAGGAGCCAGAGAAGTACACTTGGGATTGGACTTTGAGGTTCCTTGAGCAAGGGCCTTAGAAACTCAAGATTTCATTGATCTGGGATACCTTTGGAACAAAAGATTTAACCCAAGGGGATGGGGCAGACTTACTGCTAAGATAGCTCTTGGAAGCCTGGAAAAGTGAGAGTGGAAATGAGCTTACATCATGGCAGCTTTTGACTCCTGGAGAAGATACCTATTTATTTTGGCATACCCCATATAGTTATTGCACACTTATTAGCTCTAATTGTTTTGTACTAACTGAAAGTGTTTTTAAGAAAATCACCTGCAAGGGGTGTCTGGGTGGTTCGGTTAAAGCCTCTGCCTTCAGCTCAGGTCATGATCCCAGGGTCCTGGGATCAAGGCATCAGGTTCTCTGCTCTGTGGGGAGCCTGCCCCTGCCCCCCCACCTGCCTCTCTGCCTACTTGTGATCTCTGTCTGTCAAATAAATAAATAAAATCTTTAAAAAAAAAGAAAAAAGAAAAAAGAAAATCACCTGCATATGTTTTTGTTCTTCTCCTCAACCTCTTTTTAAAATTTTTAATTTTTTTTTAAAGATTTTATTTATTTGACAGAGAGATCACAAATAGGCAGAGACAGGCAGAGGGGGATGGAGGTAGCAGGCTCCCTGCCGAGCAGAGAGCCCCATGCAGGCTCAATCCCAGGACCCTGAGATCATGATGTGAACTGAACCAGTGGCTTAACCCACTGAGCCACCCAGGTGCCCCTACGCAACCTCTTTTAATCTTATCTTGTTGGTTAGAACCTGAGAAAACTGATGAGAGTAATAGTGGTGATTCTTGTTTTGTTCCTGACTTTAATGGCAATGTTACCAGTGTTTTATACAAGTTCTTAATTTCTGATAGATCCCACTTAGTGAGTTAAGGACATTTCTAATATTTTGAAAATTCTTGGAAATTTTATAATTCCCTCTTCTGTATCTGGTGATCAAACAGTTTTCCTCTTGTAAAATACTTATAATGAATTATATTCTTATTCTTACCATTCTTGCATTTCCATAGATCTACTTACTTGGTCCTAATAGCTTTTGTCAATATTTTATTAAGACAGTTTATCAGGAGGACATTCAAGATGGTAACATATAAGGGATCCTAAACTCAACCTCCTCCCATGAATACAACTACAGCTATGTATGAAACAGTTCTCTATGAAAAGGACCCAAAAGCTAGCCGAATAGCACCTCTACAACAAAGGACAAAAGGGCCACATTGAGATGGGTAGGAGAGGCGATACATGGTCTTTCAAAAAATCCCACCTAAGCATAAAGACCAACATCTGGGAGGGATGTCATAACACAGGGCTTGTCCCCCCCGAGAAGTGAGGGGTTTGTGCTCCATAGCAGGTACCTCGGCCCTTTGGGACTACATCAGAGAGATGAGCACCTGGCCTTGAAAACCAATAGGGCTTAACAAATATAGGGCTTTAGGGAATGGAAAATCCACTATTAAAGGACTCATACACAGACCCACTCATCCCAGGACCCAGCACAAAAGTAAGTCTCAAAGACACCTAGACCATATGCTGAGGAAATGCATTTGCTAATCTTATAGCATCTGCCAGAGACAGGAACCCCTTGGGACTCTCTGGGGACAGAGATGCTGGCAATCACCATTTCTGTACACTCCCCACCCCCACCCAGCCTGCTAGCTCAGGAAGAAGTGTCCTGCCCCCACCACAGCCCAGGTCTACCCTCCTCCTGCTGAGTGCCCTGCCCCCATGGTCTACCCTGCCAGCCAGTGGGCATGTGCAGTCTACACAAGGGACACCGTTTGAGCACCTGGCGCTGGTGGCCAGCAGGGATTGTTTTGGACTCCCTGGGCCTAAAATATTCAGTTCTTCACAGGTTATCACCCCCAAGGGCACCGCACAACCAGCTGACTAAAACATACCCCTAGAGTTCATTTGAAAAAGGTGTTCTTCTCCTTGAGTTTCAACCTGAGGGGCAGGCAGGATTCAGGTTTGCTATATATTCATAGGCTACATGGGTGCCCCCAGATAAGATGGGCAGGGAGATAACCATATTAGTGCTCTCCCGTGGCCATATAACAGTTCACGGATGCCTCCCAGAAAGGAGCTTATATATGCCTAAAGCAAGAGTTTTCCAGCTGTCACCCTGGGGATTAACTCCAGATTTCCTGGTCTCAAAGTCAGCAGGGTTTATGATTCTGTAATCTTAAGACTATATATTTACATACTTTGAAAGCTGCTGCCTGTGGATCTGGCTTACTCTATTCCTAAAAGAACTAGAAAAAGAAGAAATGAAGCCCAAAGTTAGTAGAAGGGGGAAAATAATAAAGATCAGAGTGGAAATAAATAGAGACTAGAAAGATAACAGTAAGGGTCAGTGAAATGAAGAGTTGGTTTTTTTGAAAAGATAAGCAAACTGATGAATCTTTAGGTAGGCTCACTGATTTAAAAAGACAGGGCTCAAAAAAAAAAAAAAAGACAGGGCTCAAATAAATAAAATAAAAAATGAAAGAGAAGTTATAACTGATACTGTGGAAACACAAAACATCCTAACAGACCACTGCTAACAATTATATGCCAACAAACTGGACAATCTGGAAGAAATGGAAAAATTCCTAGAAACGTATGATTTTCCAAGACTGACTCTTGAGGAAATAGAAAATGTGAATAAGCCAGTTGCTAGCAAGGAGATTGAATGAGTAGCCAGAAATCTCCCAACAAACAAGTCCAGGACCGGATGGCTTCACTGGTAAATTTTACCAAACATTTGAAGATGTAATACCTATCCTTCTCAGACAAGGATACCACGGAGAAGAATCCAGGCCAATAACCCTGATGAACATAGATGCAAGAGTCTTCAACAAAATATTAGGAAATCAAATTCAACAGTACATTAAAAGGATCATATACCATGATTAAGGTTGACTTATCTCAGGGATGTAAGTATGGTCAACATCCAGAAATCAATCAGTATGTTAACATTCGCAGGTAAGAATATGCTGTTGTATGTAAAATAGAAATGAGAGGTCAAGAGACTCCAAAGCAAAGGGTAGAGCAAGAACGCCTTTGTTCATAATGATGTACTGTCATGGCGCCACTCAGCCACAGGGAGTGTGACTTGGCTTCTGTGAAATAAATTCACGGCCCTGTGATCATTCCTACCATCTCCCACCCCTCCCCCACCAATTGCTTTAGCTTATGTTGGTACCCTTCTCTTGACATGTTTTCTTTAATAAAATTTGCTAAAATTTTACCCACCCAGTTTTTTCTTTAAAAAAACTACTACCACCTGACATGTTATATACTTTACTATTAGTTTCCATCCACTAGAATGTGAACATTGGAGCTCGATCTGTTTTGTTTACCAATGCATTCCTTGCACACATTATAGTGTATGGAACATAATAAGTACTGAATTAATGAATAGTAAGCTTGGCAGAACTGAACTAAGAAAGATACTGATATTTACACTACTACATCTTTGATCTATCCTGTAAGAGATGAAAAAATTATTGCATAAAAACTGTAATTCATGGGCAGGGGAGTGTCAATAATAAAGAATATGAAGGAAAAAGTTTTATAAGTACCCACACTGCACTACCAAAGATGGCATTTCAATTTTAGTCGTGGTGTTTTTAGCATATAATTGCACTTTTAGAAGTACTTTATGGAGAGTAGGGAAACTACCAAGATTTGAATGAAGATAAAAATAAAAGTTCAGACATAAAGTGTGGGATCTTGGTTTAAGTGGAAATGGAATCTTTTTGGTGGTTTGTGGTTAGTGGGTTATATTGTCACTTTGTGGAACCACTGGTCTCTAGAATTTAAGAAGTAGCTTCATTTTTCTCCCAGTAGTAGTTGGGAGGCCATTTGAAAAAGAAAAGAGAAAACTTAAGAAAAGCATAAATTACAATTTTGAAATGCTACCATTAAAGCTTGTCTTTTTTTTTTTTTTTTTTTTAAAGTAGATTCCATGCCCAGTGGGGAACCCAATGCAGGGCTTGAACTCACGACTCTGAAATCAAGGGTTGGACACTTATACTGAGCCACCCAGGCACCCTAAAGCTTATGTCTTAAACAAAGGTAGGTGAGAATGAAAGATTTTTGCCACTATTAGAGAAAAACCAAATGTATAAAGTATATAGTTTATATTTAATGTCATTTTCAGCTAATCTTCAGTATTTCAGAAAATGTGCCTGCCACACTATTTTACACACTATTTATAAAATCAGGGTTTACTGACTTAAAAATATACATATTTAAAAAAATATTTGACCGACTAAATTGTTAATATTTTACAAACTATTTATGAGTCATGAATATACAAACATTCTATCAGATTTCTAACAGGATTGCATATTCTAAATTAGGACTTCCTTTAGCCATTTTTTTGTGGAATTATGTAATATATCATTAAAATGAACATCTTATAGCTATTACTAATAATTATGTCAACAGCCTCTATATAGAACTGTTTCAAACATTAGCTGAAAATCATGATTTTTTCCCTCCTTTATACCAAGAACATCCATACATTTGCAACATTTACTCTATTTGATAAATAAATGATTTTTCTATATTTTCTAAACAATTATATTTTCTAAATTTGAAAAATGTACTCCCTCATTCTAGTTAGGATCCCATTTATAATATTTATTCCACTACATTTATGGTTTTGTGACCAATTTGAAAGGTGGTATATCATTAAAAACAGATCTGTACTAAAGAAACTGGCTTTGATATGGCAAATCCCAGTTTGTAAGACAGAGGTAGCCAAATACCGCTCTTGTGCAGAGGTGAGCCATTAGATGACTAAGAGTAAATTGTCTCTACTGTATACAAAGACAATAAAGAAGGTAGGAAGAGATCCATTATGGTAACAAATGGGATCTATTATATCTGAGGTTTTAAGGTATTTCAGAATTTTAGGAATTAAAGGGCAATCTTTTTAAAGATGTATAAGTGGTTTAGTTTTAATAATATTTATTGATTCGTAATGTAAATAAAAATAATATAGGTAACTCTTGAAATAAAAAAAATAGACCACATAAAATGTGCATTTTAATACAAATCATTAGGATATATTTATACTATATATAAATCTACACATTAGAAGGTAGTATTGAAATTTTACTCTACAGAGTATCACTCTAGAATTCTTTTAAAAAAAAAATCACTGGGTGGAATTAGATGATGACTGTGAAATAGATTCTCCCATTACAATACTGCTTCTGTCATTTAGAGTTTTGACAACACTTGTAGCTGGAGACTGTAGTACTTTACGAGAAAGTCTCATTCTTCCATCAGCTGGATCACGCCCAAAGTATTTCACCTGTATTAAAGAAGCCAATTTACCTTTACAGTTACATAGTACAATGATCAACATCCAAATTAGAAGATACTTAGATTTATATGGTGCAAAAAACCCCAATGAGTAATGTTTTTACTTTCCTGAAAGCACAGCTTAGGACTAAGTAGAGGTATATACTAATAAATATAATTTGGTTAAATAGCCCTTATAAGAAAAAGAAAAGAGACAGGCATTTAGTTGCTCTATTAAAATCTTCTGTTAGACTCAACTGTGCTTTCTTATTTTCTCTGGGCCAGGTCCCTATACTGGAAGAACAGTGAAAGCCATGGTGAATGATTCTAGACAAGGGCTTTCTGAGCCTAAGGGTACGATAAACTATACAGGATTATGGTTAGGTCATTCACACTATTCCCCAAAGGACTATCAAACTGGAGATTATTTGGCTTGACTTTATACAACACAAGTCGGGGGAAATGTGGCAGTTTTAAAGTCCCTTCTCATGCAAAAACACAACCTTATACAGATACTGGGTCTTAGTTCTTACTCTTCCCTAGAGGCTCCTTGAACGATGGACTACAGATTAGGAATAAACTAGAAGCCTTGGTTACTCAAGTCATGGGTAATAGGTACAGCTGGAACAAAATGTGGTATGGACAAGTAAAACAGAAACCAAACCACACCAGACTGGCAATGACTTCCTTTATACATTCATAAAAAACTATAAAAAGGTCAAACAACATGGCTTTCTTTAAACTAAAAAATTTTTAGCTATGAACCAATTGAAGTCTCAACTCAAATATGTCATTCAAGGCCTTTAACAGAGTTACGTGTTCAGAGTTCTTCTGTCCTATCTGCACATCACTGCATAGCTATTACTGGCCTCATGCATTTTTAAAAGCTCTAAAGTGGGGGGACTATTGTTAGAACTAAACTGCAAGCTCCCTAAGGGGAAGAATTACACCTTAAATCCTTAGTCTGTTTAAAAACAAACCTAAAGTTAAAAAAGCACAGCACATAATACAAATCACAAATGTTGATTTGATTCTTTCAGCTTTTTGGAAAAAAAAAAAAAAAAAATTGAAACTTGGAGTACAGTTTACAACTCTTAAGGCTAAAAAGTTGAATACAAGTACCTGAATTTCTTGGCCAACTTCTAATCCAAGGGCGGTGGGATGTTTAATCTGAAAGAGAACATGTTCATTTGTTAGTTGCTATGCATAATCTCTTAATATCCATAGCAGTACACATTTTTTTAAGTGGAAAGTTTTAGTGTTTTTCCTGATTATGAAATCTGTTGATTACAAAGGCTTAAAATACACATTCAAGTGAGAGCAAAAATCATCCAAAGCTCTCTACTTTTTAGATAACTACTGCTGATACTCTAACAAGTATCCCTTCAAATGTCTACTTAGTATGTACTCCATTTATAAAAATGGACCTTATTGAGCTTGTTGTTTTCTAATACATTGATTTTTCATTCAATAATATGTTCAGGATATCCTTTTAGATCAACAAATGAAACAGCAGAATGTTCAAACTATGTAATTTGTTTAACTGATCCCCTAAAGGTGGTCATTTAATTCGTTTTAAATTCCAGTATTTTTTTTTAAGACTTTATTTACTTGGGGGCGCCTGGGTGGCTCAGTGGGTTAAGCCGCTGCCTTCGGCTCAGGTCATGATTTCAGGGTCCTGGGATCGAGTCCCGCATCGGGCTCTCTGCTCAGCAGGGAGCCTGCTTCCCTCTCTCTCTCTCTCTCTCTGCCTGCCTCTGCCTGCCTCTCTGTCTACTTGTGATCTCTCTCTGTCGAATAAATAAACAAAAATCTTTAAAAAAAAAAAAAAGACTTTATTTACTTGGGGAGGGGAGCAAGAACAAGCACACGCAAGCGTGAGAGTACATATAGGGCAGAGAGGGAGAAGCAGACTCACTGTGGTGCAGAGCCCAATGCAGGGCTCGGTCACAGACCTGAGATCATGACCAGAGCTAAAGGCAGATGTCTAACTGACTGAGCCACCCAGGTGCCCCTTAAATTCTGGTATTGCAAATGTTAATAATTACTGAATCTAGATGTCAGGTATGTGGATGTTCAGTGTACTATTTTTTTCAACCTTTTTGTAGGTAACTACAGTGTTGCAACAATTATGTAGTTACTCAAATTATCCTTTCAGAATAAAGTCCTAATGTTGAACTTCTAGGGCCAAAGGTACTCATACACATTTATCAAACACTCGCCAAAAAGTCTGTCCCAATTTACATTCCTACAACAGTATCTCAAGTGTATGAGAATGTCCATTTTTTTCTTCCATATTTTCACCCACATTGGGGATTTTCAACTATCTGAAAGTTGAAAAATGATAACTTAGTTTTATTTGCATTAAAAAAAACTGCTGTTGGGGCGCCTGGGTGGCTCAGTGGGTTGGGCCTCTGCCTTCTGTTCGGGTCATGATCTTAGGGTCCTGGGATCCGCATCGGGCTCTCTGCTCAGCAGGGGAGCCTGCTTCCCCCCCCCCCCCCCCCGCCCCGTCTTCCTCTCTGCCTATTTGTGATCTCTCTGTCAAATAAGTAAAATCTTAAAATAAAACAAAAAAAACAAAACAAAACTGCTGTTGAGGTGCCTGGAAGACTTGGTGGGTTAAGCATCTAACTCTTGAATTCATCTCAGGCCATGATGCCAGCGTCATGAGTTCAAACCCTGTTTTGGGCTCTGCTCTCAGTGTGGAGTCTGCTAGAGATTCTTTCCCTCTCCCTCTGTTCCAACCCCTGCTCACCCATGCTCTCTGTCTAAAATAAAAACAAGTAATATACAAATCTTTAATTTAAAAAAATTGCTGTTGATATTGACCTTTCTTACTGATCCATATAAACCCTGTGCATATGAAGCCTCTCTCATTTGTTATATACATCTTTTTCCCCTGAGTTGGTACTTGGCTTTCACCTTTATTGCAATTTTGCCATGTATTTTAAAATGACATCAGGAGCACCTGGGTGGCTCAGTCAGTTAAGCATCTGAATCTTGATTTCACCTCAGTTCATGATCTCAGGGTTGTAAGAAAGAGCCCTGCGTGGTGCTCTGCACTCAGCAGGGAAGTCTGAGATTCTCTCCCTCTGCCCCTCCCCTCACTCAAGCACTTGGGTTCTTTCTCTAAAATAAATCTAAAATAAATAAAACAGGAGACATTCTGCTTTATGAAAACCAGCTATTCCAATACAATGTATTAAATAATCTTTGTTTCTTCAGACTGAAAATGCAACTTTTAGTATATATTATATTCCCATTTATATAACTGGATAATTTCTGGTCTCTATTTTCTGTTGTATAAATTGTCTAATTCTAGGTCAGTAATACACTGTTTTATTCTGTATAGCTTTATATTTCAATATTTGGTAAACTAAACATTCCTATTATCCTCTGCACCTAGAGTTTTCTTGAATAGTTTCATATTTTTAGTTTTATCTTACTATGCTTGGTTGGCCAAGAAAGTTGGGAAGACAGGGCTATAGCCAGGTATTTTTAAAAAATAACTGTTATATGTTAACTCTAGATGTGTTAACTCAAGAATGTTTCTATTCCATGATACAAGGACAAACATAAATACCTGTGTTAAATAGTGTAAAAACCTTCTGTCAGCAACATTGCTGTCATTTTCAGCTTTTTATATTTAGGCTAGTAGTGGACAAAGTGCACAATTCTCAACAACCCAGGTAATTTCACTATGATGATTTTAAGGTGGTTTTAAACATATTGTTTTGTTTTGTTTTTACCTTTCGTTGATCAAGTTGTGTGTTATGGAGTAGTACCGCAGTCATATTTGGATATAATTTAACCATCACTCCAGTGTCTCTGAGAAGGAAAGGAAATAAGCCTGATTAAAACAGTATCTGAGTATCTACTCATAATCAAACTTATTATGTATCCATTGGAGAACAAAGTAAACACACACACAATTGTAAAAAGGATTATCTAAAAGAGAAACTTATTTTTTCAACTGAACATACACCTTGGATTTACATTTTTTAAAAAATATTTTATTTATGGGGCACCTAGGTGGCTCAGTGGGTTAAAGCCTCTGCCTTCAGCTCAGGTCATGATCTCAGGGTCCTGGGATCGAGCCCTACATCGGGCTCTCTGCTCAGCGGAGAGCCTGCTTCCTCCTCTCTCTCTCTGCCTGCCTCTCTGCCTACTTGTGATCTCTGTCAAATAAATAAATAAAATCTTTAAAAAAAAAATTTTATTTGAGAGAGTGAGAGAGCATGAGCAGGGGAAGGGAGAGGGAGAAGCAGACTCCCCTGAAGAGCAGTGAGCGTGACAAGGAGCTCGATCCCAGGTCATGACCTGAGCTGAAGGCAGATGGTCTGAGCCACCCCGCTCCTACACCCTGTTATTTAAATACTTGTAAATGAAAGGACAGAGAAGAGATAAAGGAAAATTGTGTTAATGACAAGCTTTTAGACTATATATTCTTCTATAATTCTCTATTTCCCCATTTTGAAATGACATTAATTATTTATTTTTTTAAAGATTTTATTTGAGAGAGAGAGAATGAGAGAGAGCATGAATGGGGAGTAGAGGGATAAACATTAAATATTTTAAAGTAGTGTAGATGAATCATCAACCTATTAAATAATGGTTTAAGGAAGGGGGCTGGATAAAATAAGGTATTTATTTCATTACAAAATCTGTCTTTTTTTCACTAGTCTACTAAAATAAGCCATCCCATTTCTCAGTTTTTCACCTGTGATATTAAACAAATTATTCCATTGGCTTTTGTTATTCATTTCAAATAGCTCTGAACACTCAGGCTACATCTGATATATATATGTTATTTTTTTCCTTAAGAAGGGGATTTTTCAGGGGTGCCTGAGTGGCTCAGTCTATTAAGTGTCTGTTTTTGGCTCAGGTTATGATCCCAGGGTCCTCTGGGATTGAGCCCCGCATTGGGCTGCCTGTTCGTGGGGAGTCTGTTCTCCCTCTCTTCCCTGCTTGTGCTTTCTCTCGCTACCTTTCTCTCTCAAATAAATAAACAAAATATTTTTTAAAAAAGGGGAGGGGATTTTCTCATCCCCCCAAAATCAGTCTTTTTAGCTGATAAAAAATACTTTGAGGTTGAAATTGACATTTAAAGAAATGTGCTCCTTAGGCATTAAATAGTACTATCTTTAAAACAGACATGAAACTACTAGGAAAAGAAAAAGGAATACTGCTAGGTCTATTTGGGCCTGTTTTACTGTTTATTGGGAAAATTTAAGTGGTGAGAAATTTGGTTCAAGGAAACAATTCACTTAGAAGAATCTATTAGTACAATTATAATCACAGAATCATGTTACTGAAAATCAACAAACTGGCATAGAAAATAAATTATACCTTAAAAATAATTTATGGCAGGTAATTGATATAAAATCTAAATACCTAACATTTTCAACATATATAATGCAAATGTGAAGTTAACATGTGCTTATAATATAAATTTATAAAAACCAGCATAGTGGGGGCACCTCGTGGCTCAGTGGGTTAAAGCCTCTGCCTTTGGCTCAGGTCATGATCCCAGGGTCCTGGGATCGGCCCTGCATCGGGCTCTCTGCTAGGTGGGGAGCCTGCTTCCCCCCCTCCCCACCCCCGCCTGCCTCTCTGCCTACTTGTGATCTGTCAAATAAATAAATAAAATCTTAAAAAAACAAAGAAAGAAAAAACCCCCAGCATAGTGTATGGTTGATATTACCTGATTTCAGTTATTGTGGCGGTATACACTGCTCCAAATTCTAGTTGCTGCTCTTGCTGTAAGTGCAAAATAAGCCATAAGATGAATAAATAGCAAAAAATATAGAAAAAAGTAAGTATTATAAGATCTATACTTACATCATCTTTGCAGATTTCAGTAATGAAGTCTCTTGCTTCATGCATAGCACTTGGTGTTGGTGCAAATACAGAAAATGTTTCTTCATCCACCTGACTAACAGTTACTCCTTTTAAAAAGATGATTTAACATATTAAAGTTAACTTGCTCACTTTAGTGAAGTCTAATCTTACAAAGTAGATGTGAGAGCAGGGGACTGACGTATAAGTAGCTGGGCAGAGTTGTGTTATATTTACTCATTGCTTTAGGAATGAAGGGATTCATTCACCAACATATAACACATTGCACACCTGCTATGTATCTGACATTGTACTATGGCCTGGGGAAGCAACAGTCAGTCACTGTCTCTGTGTTCTTGGAGCTCAGAGTTTGGTAGGAGAAAGCACATTTAAGTTCTAATTTTTGAAGATTTGGTTTTGCTCTTTTAATTATGAGTAGCTTCTATACTGTAACCTTTTCCTCACTTTTTCTTTCTCTTATTCTAGAGTAGTGAACAGATGGATGAGGGATGACATGTCAGTTTCTCAATCTAAAGCGCTGGCTAAGACAACTATGCTTCTCACCTTCCTTCAATAACCTCAAAGCTGGTAAGTACTAGGTAACTCAAAGATTGCTTCTAGAAAAAAGAAAGCATACTATTTCTACACATAGTCTACTCTTCAAATAAAAGTCTAAAGAAGACTAAGTGAAAAACAGCAGAATAGAAAATGACAGCAAAATCCTCTGAAGTGAAAAGTTAAAGATTTTTCTAAATGTTCAATTTTAAAATGTCACAAAGAAATCAATGAATTCTAGGTCATCCTTCTTGAATATAGCTAAGAATGACTGCTGATTTATTAAGAGGCATACAGAAAACTTAAAGACATGACAGCATTATATTCTTTTCTCTTGTTCTCACATATCTCAAACATATTTTTTGAATATAATGGGGATGAAATGGCAACTTATGGGGCCTACCATTAAAACCCTCAAACTTGGGGCACCTGGGTGGCTCAGTTGGTTAAGTGTCTGACTTTTGATTTTGGCTCAGGTCATGATACAGGTTTGTGAGATCAAGCCCTCAAGTTGAGGTCCATGCTGAACATGGAGCCTGCTTAACATTCTCTCTCCCCCTCCCCCTTCTCCCCTACCTCTCTAAAAAACATTAAAAAATAAAACCCCCAAACATCATACAACTTTTACCTGTTTCAGCCTGAAGCTTTTTTAAATGATATCCACCTGGTCCAACAAATTTTGCCCGTTTTGATAATGGAACCTGAATAGTTTCTAAAATGTAATAAAGACAAACTGTAAATAATTCAAATACATATATGAACCTAAAACATATCTTGATCAAAAATTTTTTTTTGGCATATGCACATGTAAAACTATTTCATGGGAAGTAGAAAAATAGTTACTTGACTCAAGTTTCTGTAAGTTCTAATGTCTAAAAATACCTCCCCCAATTTAAAAGTGTTTATAGAAATACTTAAAATATTTTTGTTTTGTGTATGGAGTTAAAGGAAATTTAAATATAATAATATACTTTCATATATTAATGTTCACCTTATGACAGAATAAATAATAACTTTAATAAATTACCTACAACAGGTCCATTTTCTTTTCTAGATGCTCGAGGTTTTGAAATAGTTTTGTTCATTATCTGTAGTATCTCCTTCTTTGCCACTATAAGAGATAAAAACATAAAAACTATAATCACAGTTGACCCTTGAACAACTGGAGATTATGGATGTCCACCCTTGCATCAAAAATTCGTGTAAAACTTTTGATTCCCCAAAACTTAACTACTAATAGCCTACTATTGACTGGAAGCCTTACTCATGACAAAAAACAGTTAAGTGACACATTTTGTATGTTTATGTATTATACTCGATATTCTTATAATAAAGTAAACTAGAGAAAAGAAAAGGTTAAGACAACCTTAAGACAACCATAAAGAGGGGCACCTGAATGACTCAGTGGGTTAAACCTCTGCCTTCAGCTCAGCTCATGATCTCAGGGTCCTGGGATCAAGCCTCGCATCAGGCTGTCTGCTCAGTGGGCTTCCCCCCCCATCTCTCTTCCTGCCTCTCTGCCAGCTTTGATCTCTCTCTGTCAAAAAAATAAATAAAATCTTAAAAAAAAAAAAAAGGAAACCATAAGGAATAGAAAATATATTTACAGTACTGTATATTTATTGAAAAATATTTGCATAGGCATGGGATAGGGGGCTGGCTCTGGGATGGCAGAGTTCCACAGCCTGGTGGCTTAGGCTCAGCAGTGGCAACCCCTGGGTGGCCTGCAGGCTGCAACAGTTGCATGGAAGCATAGTAATGCTGCTTCATCTGCATGGACATGTACCACTGACCTATGGCCATACACCACATGTGAGTGTGCTGGTCTCCAGGAGGCCTCAGGGCCAAGGTGCCATAGTGGGGAATGGGTCCCCTCCCAACCCCACAGGCACAGAGGACTTAGTGCAGGGACTTCCAATACAGTGCTACCCCTTCCCTCTGGGCATATTTCTCCACTTCAGCCCAGTCTTCTGCTGGCCAGCCCTAGATGCTTGATGGGACCACCTTCTCAGCATACTGGGTAACCTGCAGCCCTGCCCAGTCATGACCCCCCCCCCCATCCCCAGGAGCTGCTAATTGCCTCAGCAGGACTCATAGGATACTCAGTGTAGCAGACATGACCTCTGTGTCAGCTGCCTTCAGTTCATCTGGTGGAATGGGCAATAGTAAATAAATGCTTTGCTGCTGTAAATAAATGCTTTTGTTGCCAACTCTTAAAAAAAAACCCACAAAAACAAAAAACCAAAAAACAATCCACATATAAGTGGACCCGTGCAGTTTGAGCACACATTGTTTAGAGGTGAACTATATATAAAAAAAATATGATGAGATATAGCAGTAGTCTTAGTTTTTATGGAGTAAAATCCAAATTCTTTAACTTAGTAATCAAAGCTCTTCATATCCTAATTACCTTTACAATTCTACTTATAGTCCCTTTTCTCCATAAATCTTATCTTAGGGAGTCACTTATAAAAATTGAATTTTCTCTGGTCTCTCACAAAGGTTTGAAATTTCATTTCCAAAACAGTATTTTATAAAAAGCCCATTTTTAATATGCCTAATGGGAATTATAGTTGTCATGAATAAATGAAAAATGATGGAAAGAGAATCAGGCACACTAGCTTAGCTTACCTGAGGCTTGTTGAATGGCCTCCATAACAATTTTTACTGGTATTCCAGGTAATTTAATATCAGCCTGACGTGGAAAAGTAAAAAAATTATATAAATATTGATTCATGACATTATTTAAATATTATAAAAGTGAAACAAAATAGGTTTTAAAATACCTGTAAGGCGGTTATTCCCTTATTGGTGCCGGCTATTTTGAAATCCATGTCACCATTGTAATCTTCAATTCCCTGAAGGAATTTAAGAAATGATATAGTTTTAAACAAAAACAAAATTCATCCAGGCACTATGGAGGAATTTTAAAAAACAGCTAGAGAAGTAAACCATGTCCTCTAAGACTAAACACAAAGAAGTATCTTCTACAGTAAACTATTGCTTCTAATTTGTGGCTTTTTCAGTTAGAACTGTTTCATCAGAAAATTACTTTAAGTTCATGTTGTCCCCCCATAAATGCACAGGGATTCATTTATGATCCCCCTAAAGTGAGCCGTTATGGATATTTATACTGCTTTTTGTATATTTTAACTCACATCCTATAAAATCCAAGGCTAATATGCAGAGGAGGAAAGTAAGTAATACCAAGTAATGTATTCTTCTAAGCATCCAATGCTTATAAAATATGTGTCATCTTCACTACTGAATATTTGAAAACATGGATATACTTGCCAGAATATCTGTCAGCAAACGATAATCTTCTATTTCACCCTTGTCAGGATTGTTTTTGGTGACCAATCCTATTGCCACACCTGCGACAGCAGATGAAATTGGAACTCCTATAATTGAGAAGAAGAGCTTGTATGTAATGTGTACATCAACCTAACACACATATTTATCATTCTGTTGATATTTAATGTAAGTGAGTGCTATTTTAAATTTGACATCATCAGAGCCAAGCTGGAAAGGTCATCTATCTACCTCATTTCTTTTTAAGCATATGAAAAAAGCCCCTTAAAACAAATAAACAGGTAATCACTTTTCTCACAAAAATCTCTATAAAAATAGCACACTTAACTCTTAATAGAATCCATTTGTCTTTTTACTTTTGGTATGTTTATCTTCTTTTTTTGGAAATGTAACCATGTTATTGGTAAATCCCTCCAGCCTAAACCCCTCATCTCACCTCTCCATGAAAGCCATCAGTAGGTTTTTTTGTGTGTGTGTATCCTCCCAGAAAATTTGTGCCCAAATATGAATCAAAGTGTAATCTTTTGTTCTCTTTACTTATGGAATCACAGTGAATGTGCTCACTATTCAGCACCTTGCTTTTTTCCACTTAATAACATACCTTGGATAGTGACACATAATGCCACACAAAGTTCCACCTTATTTTTTTGAATGGCTGCTCAGTACTCCCTGAATGGATTTATAAGCCACATAATAGAAGTGGGATTACTAGGTCAAAAGGTATGTGGGTTTACATTTATTATAAATCTGTCAAACTGCCTTCCAGAGTGTAGCATTTTATATTTCTACCAGCTGTATTTGAGGGTGCCTGCTGCTCTACTTTCTTGTTAATTCCTGTCAGATCTTTTGACCTTTGTTATATAAAGGGCAAAAATGGTAGCTTATTGTTTTTAATTTGATTTTTTTATGAGTGAGATTAAACTTTTTTTAATGTTTATAAACTGTTTATTTAATTAATTTATTTATTTAGGCTCCATGCCCAGCTATGGAGCCCAATGCAGGGCTTGAATTCACAACACTGAGATCAAGACCCATGATGAAATCAAGAGTTGGACGCTTAACCAACTGAGCTACCCAGGCACCCCTTATATTTCTTTTTCTGTGAATTGCCTGTTCATGGCTTTCAACCATTTTCCTACTTGTTTGTTAATCTTTTTTCTTAATGATTTATAAAAGCTCTTTCAACATGGACAGTACATCTTTGTTAAATATAAATGTAGACTATTAAAGGAAATATATTATTTTCCTAGTCAGTTGACTTTGTTTATTGTGATTTATTTTCCTGTATAGAATTTTAAAGGTATATGTTATCATGGTTCCTGGATTTTGCTTAGAAAGGTTTTTCCTAAGATTTTGATAAAATTTTCCATGTTTCTTTTTTTTTTTTTAAACAAAACATTTAAGGTTTTATCACTTGGAATTTAACTGTTAAAAAGGATTGTGGCGGGGGATATAATTTCATATTCTCTAAGCAATCTCACTTATGATCTTGGTTTTTTAACCATAACCTATAATGTTGATGACCTAAAAAATCTCTCTCTCCTGCCTATTTCTCTTTGCTACTAAGCTCTAGAGCTGTATAGCCAATATGGCTATTGGACACTTCCAGCTAAATGTCCCCAAAGCATGTTATATGTATGTACATATATATAAAATGTAATCATACCCAATAAATCCTTTTTGTCTTGCTTTTCTTATCTTGGTTGAATGCAACTAAGATTCTCATCCAGAATCAATACTTCTTTCCCCATTTCCTAATATGGTCACAAAGATCTGATAGTTTGTCCTTTAAATTTCTGTAGAAAGTTGTCCTTTCCTCTAAATACTGAAACATCCATTGTTACTCCTTTAGTCCAAGTCTCCATTATTTCTTGCTCTGACAACATTCTCCTTGTCCGGTATCCCCAATTTTAGTCTCTCCCCCGTTTCCATTCTCTCTCACTTCATCCTCTAGGTCTATCACCTAAGCTGGGAAAAACTACCAAAAAGAAAATAAATCAGATTCAAATCACACCATTCCACTACATAAAATTCTCCTGAGTTCCCCACTATTTGCTTTCAGTAAATTTTATACATGTTCTATGGTCAAAAACATTTGGGAAATAGTGCATATCCTGTTCCTAGAGATTCAGAATTCACAATAGCATATTAAAGTTTATTTAACTCATATTAAATAAACCTGCTTAACCCTGCTTAAATGTAGTTTAGAACAGAATGACTTTTTTTTCATGGTATACAATAATCAACATCCAGCAGGAACACTAGTCATAGAATACTGAGTTGTGAAATACTAGCTTTAAGTTCAAAATCCATAACATAACAATGACTTTTAAAAGGTGGTCCCAATTTATTACTTAATTTTTTCAAATACATTTTAGAAACATACTATACTGCTTCATAACTTTGCCCATTATGTTCCTTTCACATGAAATATGGTTCCTGCTCCTAATGACAGATCAACTACTCAGCCTTTAGAACCAGATGAAATGTAGCTGTCTTTATGAAGCCAAGTACTTTCAACCTAATTTTTCATCCATATTGTACATATTTGTGCCTTTTACCTATTTGAATTAATCTCCTTGATCTTATGTTTTTTGTGCCTATAAGGTTTTTAGAAAACAGGTACCATTTGTATCCCTAAAGTAAGATAGTGCCTGATGAGAGGAATGACAAGCATTCATATGTTTGAGCTGAACTGTACACCCTTTGTTGGCTTTTCCCACAGGACTTAACATTCATTCTTGTCAAATTCAATTGTTTTCTATTTGGCTTCTTATTTTTTATCTTAACATTTTTTAAGAGATCAAAATTGTCATTTAACACATCAGTCATGCATTCCTTTTTAGCAGTATCCTTTTAATTAATTAGCAGGCCAGTGTTCTAAGTCAATTCAATAATAAAAACACTGAAAGGGACAGGGCTTAGAAAGAAACATCTTTAGGCATTCCACTTGACCGAACCATCCTACTGATCAGATTTGCTTGTCTCCTCTGCTCATGCTTCAACCAGTTATGACGGTGCACCTATCATCCATCTCAATTTCTGTATCACTTACAGAAAAATCATGAGCTGCCAAGCTACTCTAGAAATGGTGTAAGCAGCAATCACCCTCCCCACTCCAAATCTGGTAATGTTTCCAAAGTGGAACATTATTTTACAACATGATTTATTTTAAATGAGTCCCTCTCGTCCCTTCTCTTCACAGCCCCCTCCTTCCTAAAAATACTTATAAACCCTTTTTTTCTTAAATAATCTCTTTAAGAGTTTTGCTAAGGGTGACTATCAAATTCACTAGGTTATGCTTTATAGAAAATAATTTTTTTTTCAAAATTAATACTTTTTTTTCAAAATTAATAACTTTTTGTGTCCTTCGTATATTAGTTTCTGATTTTTCAAATACTGCCAACATTGGTCAGGTGTATCTCATCCTGAAGTTCTCATCTTTACTTAGGTTGGGTTTTTGTCAAGACCAAAAGATCTGAATTCATTTAAAGCATTTAAAGATCTTATAATCTCCTTTTACTTTATCTTTCAGTTCACCTTTTTGAGAATATATTGTTTCCCAGTACGAAAATGTGACTGAATGCAAGCTGCACCAGGACAGGGGCTTTGTTTTGTTCATCACTATGTCCCAAAGGCTTAGCTCAGTGCTTGGCACAGGGGTGGCATCTAGTAAAGACTGGCTGAATGAATGCATGAAGGTGAAAACAAAAAGTATTTTACCAGCAACCTTAAATATCACCTTATGCTTTTCTGGCACTGAACACAACTAGAAAAGTACTTTTAGGTGGTTTTTTTTTTTTTTGCTTTGGCTTAAGTTTTCGTCTTTCTAGATAGTGTTATTGTATATTCACACAATTCTTCTATCTCAGCCTTGGTTATAGTATCCTTTCTATCTTTCTGTACTATAAATGTGTGAACTTAGGGGAAGCTCCATGTAGCCTCTTGAGTATCTTTAGGTTCCCTTCCTTCTTGAACAGCAACATTGGTGAGATACAGAAATTGTTTTCAGAGCCTTAACATGTTGACTCTTTTCCCCTTTTAGTGTTTCAAACTGAGAGATTATACTGAATCTCTTATAGTCTTTCTTCCTAAAATTCTGTGTATCCTTTTGTGCGTGGTACTGTTCTTCTCATGGTTTGCAAATTGAATGGAAGATTACATGGTTATTTTCCTTTACGGGTCCTAAATACTTCTGCTTCCTGGTCCAAACTTTATTGGTGAATGGAATCAACTACAGAGCTCTTTACCTTTTGGAAGGTAAGAAGGCTCACTGGATCACCAAGGCAAGTAAATAATTTCAGTGTTCTCCCTTTTACCAGAAATAAGAATTCTAATAATTATCTGTATAGCTGAAGCTGCACTTTGTAACTATCTTGCTCTGGCCTGGTTTGATAATCTGTAATCTGACTTCTCCAGGTCTTATCAAAATGTAATTTTAAAGAGATCTTATATTTTATACTAATTAAATAGAGATAAAGCATTAGTAGCTTTGACACATAATTCTTTTACCTGCGTCCATTAATGCTAAACTTCCACCACATGCAGATGCCATTGAAGATGATCCTATTGAAACAAAAAAATACTTGTTTATAATATACTGATTTTTTTAAATGTAGAAAACTGTTACTATTGGTTATTTCCTTATAAATATTCAGTATTCTTTCCTTCTTTCTTTTTATTTTATTTTATTTTATTTATTTATTTATTTATTTATTTTTTAGAGAGAGAGAGAGAGAGAGATAGAGAGAGTGAGCACAGGCAGACAGAGTGGCAGGCAGAGGGAGAAGCAGGCTCCCCACAGAACAAGGAGCCCGATGCGGGACTCGATCCCAGGATCCTGGGATCATGACCTGAGGCCGAAGGCAGCTGCTTAACCAACTGAGCCACCCAGGCATCCCCCTTCTTTCTTTTTAAAAGAAATTAAGGCAAGCTCTGTTAAACCACAAACTATAGGGCTACACAGTCCAATATGATAGCCATTAGGTACATGTAGCTACTAAATTTAAATTAATTGAAATAAATTCAGTTCCTCCACTGTATAGTATAGAAATAATTTCCATCATCATAGAAAGTTTTATAGGACAGCAGTGCTACGGATTCTAAGAAACCTCCCAGAAAAACCACCATGCCTCTTCTGTTGCTTAATCAGAAGGCAGTTAAAGATAATAGGCTCTGGCTCTCTCACTGGACCCTAAGTTACAGCCTAGTTACACCCTGTAAAGAACAGAAAGTCTCTAGCTTAAATTCAGAGGGGGTTTTTTGTTGTTGTTTTTAAGTATCTGTGACCATCACTGTGACCTTTCTGTCTTTAATGGCCGTACTTTGCCTTGACGTGGGTACTTAATGTTAATTTAAATTTGATCTTTTAAAATATATTTTTAAAAGATTTTATTTGAGAGAGAGAGAGAGAGTGCATAAGCAGAGGGAATGGCAGGTAGAGAGAGAAGCAGGCTCCCCGCTGAGCAAGGAACCTGAAGCGGCACTTGATCCCAGGACCCTGGGATCATGACCTGAGCTGAAGGTAGATGCTTAACCGACTGAGCCACCCAGGCATGCTAAATTTGATCTCTCAGCCCAGCTGCTCTCTCTGTGCTGCCTGCTTATATTTATGATATTTGATAGGTGTCTCCTCCCTGCTTAATGGATCAGTCTCTTTTGTCCTTTTCTCTCTGGAAGCTGGCCTTGCTCTATGGTTTGTTTGTAAAAACAAATAACCCCTACTGGATCTGCTATAAAAGATACATAAAGAGAAATATTTGTTTTTATATTGCTTTCAAAACATCTCATTAGCTAAGAACAGCAATTTAGACAGTCTATGATTAACTAAACACATTTTTCTTTTGTCATAGATTTGGGCACTGTGGTAATAAGCACAATGTAACATAAGTCATGAAAAGACTATAACAAGGAATTCTGGTCTCTTTGACTAGAGGAAAAATTTATTTTAATATCCTACCATTTGACTCGAGGACTTCAGATGTTACTCTTATTGTGAAAGGAAAATCCTTGGGGATAACAGGATACAAAGCTTTCTCAGCAAGAGCACCTGAATTAGAATAGAAAATAATAAGCATAAATGTATTAAGTCCCCATAAGAATACCATGTAAGTTTATAGATTTGTACTCACCATGCCCAAGTTCTCTTCTATTCACCCCAGTTACTTTGCCAATTTCATTAGTGGCATAAGGAGGAAACTTAAAAACAAACAAAACAGATACATAAACAGCTGACATGGAAAGACCCAAGATATAGTATCAATATAATAAAAGAAGTTACAAAATAGTAGAATTCCATTTTTTT